CTATTTTGAACTAAATAAATTCTAAAGAGTTGATTTGTTATTTTAGAAATCAATAATATTGTTGTATCACAACATCCAACAACAAGTACTTGTACTGATAGTAATATCGGTCTTATTCAAGTAACAGAGAAAGATGCAGATGATTTTATACAAGTTCCAAATCATTTTACGTTATCAAGTGATAAAATACATGATCTTGTAAATAGAAAGGATGATAGTTCTTCAAAATCACTTGATTCATCTGCTGGTTTTATCAATGAAATTAATATGTGTACCTTAGAATCTAATGCAACAACTAATACGAGAAACAACAATGATGAAAATATTGATGCATCATCAGGTAATAATACAAGTAATAAATCAGAATATTTCATGACTTTTTTTCGATTTTAGAGTCACAGCAATGGTTAAAGGACCTAAAAAGTGATTATGATGTAATGCTCAATAAATACTCAAAAAGAATCGAAGAACAACAACAAATATTGAATCAACTAATGCATGAAAAAGAAAGTCTTATGAAGAATATGGTTGAAAGGCTTAATGAAAGCTTTCTCAATGTACAGAAAAGAAAACGTAGGATAGGAATATCATCGTTTCTTTGTTTTTTAATTTTATCTTTGTTTTTAGAAATCGTGGGTGAAGAAAACATACGGGACAATTGACAAAGAAAATTCACTAACATTTAAAAAAAAATTTTTTGTTTGTTTCATGTAAAGTAAATTTATACTTTACATGATATAAATTTATTATGTGTTTTTGAATATTATATTAAAGAATTTTCATGAAAAAAAACCAAAGCTAATTAATATAATATGTTGCAAATTATTGATGAAATTCTTGAGCAAACTTTTGAAAGTTGAATAGAATAATAAGAAGATGAAGTAATGAAAATATGTCGAAAAGATTGATGTAAATTGAATCTCAGAATAAGTATGTGCTTGATAGGCTCCGTATAGGAATGGCTGCTGTCAGGCTTACTATGACAGTTCGTGTCATATTTTATAAGGTTTTTTAATACAGATTAGCTCATCGGTTTTACTCTTGATCAACGAGGAAAGTTTGTTGGCAAATTCAAAATTGTTCTTTTTGTCAATCAAGTTTGCTTAACTAAGATCTGTACGATTCATAAGTTACCGTATGCATCGAAATATTTCGCAATACAACAATATTTTTTTTTACAAATGCATATATGTATAGCAGTCGACAAAAGTACTTCTATCATATGGGAAAAAAAACTATTTAGGCTCATATTTTTGCTATAAATAAAATGCAGTGAATCTTGATCGTTAGAGTTGATATATTAATGGATAAATTGTTAATCAAGAATAATTAGCAGCAAAAGTAATACCTGTTGAAAATGCTATCGAAATTTGAAAAGATATACCAAATGATTAATATCGATGATAATCAAACAAATCACATTTCTAAAGAAAGAACTTTCATAAATCAATAACAACACTGAATTTAATTATTAAATCAAACTTATTGTTAAATCATTGTAGAAGATTTTTATTCTGTAATTATTTAGGATGTTTTATATAATCTTGCTTTGCTTATTTTCATATTAAACAAGCAATAGAATATAAAATCTTTTGTTTTTATTTCAATTGATTATTATTTATTTGTTTTATTTCCATTCATTGATATCCCTTTTGATAAACAATATAATCAAAATAATTAACTCTTTCGTTTGTACGGTCAAAATAGATTATTTTTAAAAAATGTTCACCAGAAAAATTCTTAAACATATGACAACCCAATCCGTATTATCGAAGGTTGAGCTACAGTTTAACATTAGTAGATCATCAGATGTTGTTGTTGTCAAAGTCGGTAGAAACTTTGCCTGTCATAGAGTGTAAAAAAAATAGTCGACCAATGCACGCTACTGGAATGGTTTGATAATTCTTTTTAGAAAAGAAAGAGCATCTTATCAACGTCAAGTCTTTTGTCTTAGTTGAAAACATGAATAAAAATATTTTGTTTGGAACGAAGAAAATTTCAGAATTGTAAGCTTGTTCGAATCGTTCTAATGTAATGGGTCATTTTGAATGAATACGTTGCCATGACAAACCAAATATGAGTAAATGAATGAGTGCCTTATCCTATGAAAAACTGTCTTCTCTCTTTATCTTCACTATTTTAGCATAAAATTATTTTATTTTACATTGAGTAATTCAATAATAAGATCCATCAACATACTATTTAACTATATATACCAAACAGTGTTCGACATGGGTCACTTTTTTAGTGACCCGACCCGACCCGAGTTTTTTTTTCTGACCCGACCCGAGAATAAGAATTTTTTCAAAACATGACCCCATCCGAAGGCAAATATTTTCCTGTATGTACATATCGGTTGTGCTTAAAATTGTCTTTTTTCTTTCGCCTATCATGCATATATATATATATATATATATCAGTCGATCGCTTTTCTTTCTTTTCAGCAATTCAATTTGTCAGTTCCTTTGTTTTTATTTTATTGCGCATTTAAAAAAATAAGGACATGTCCTTGATCTTTTCTCGGTTTTTATGTATCACTGATATTGCATAGTTAAGGCAACAAAATCATCTGATAATACTTCAGCGTTTTTCTGCATTCATTTATATCATGTACAGGATTTGAGACTATTACATCTCTAGATAAAATATTAGATACTTACTATAAATGCTCTTAAGATATCAATGAATGGAAAATGATGAAATAACACAAAAGATGATATCATACATGCTGCTTTGTTATATCTAATTGTTTGTTGTGAGATCACAGAACTTATAAACAAAAAACTAACATGATTTTTGTTTCTGAAAAATACATATCTGACCCGACTCGACCCGACCCGAGTTTCCAATGATCCGACCCGACCCAACCTGAGTAGACCCGAGATTAAAAATTTTTTCCTGACCCGACCCGAGGTCTGACCCGACCCGAGTGGAACACTGATATGAATCTCTGATTCGTTTTATTTTAGTCTGTAGGAGTTGTATCTTTACTTATTCTTCTCAACTTGTTTGTTTATTTTTTATATGTTAACGAAATAATGTGAAGAGAATGACATTGAAAACGGTTTGTTTTCGGTTTTATTGATTTATGTTTTTGTTTTTCTTTTCCGTATGATTTATTCCTTGAAATGTATGAATTAAAAAAAAATGAATAGATCTTCCAAGAAAATAAAATAATTATTTATTTTAATATATTTAGTATTTATTATTATTGATATATAAAATGATGAATGATAATAAACGAAAAGAAATAATTGATTCATGACATATACGTGCTGATCCTTATCATATATTGATTAAGAATAATCAGATATTTTCCAATATGGCTATAAGTATGATCAAATTTGTTGAAAAAAATTTACTAAACAATTCAAAAGATCTTTATATTATGGATTTAGCTGCTGGAACTGGTTTAGTTTCGAAATTATTAATTGAATATTTTAATATATCACCATTATCATTATATCTTGTTGAATCAGCTGAAAGAATGTGTTTACATGCATGAAATAAATTTCTATTTAACAAAGATGTATATACTTATCTTTATCATTATTCATTGAAAAAACTGTTCTGTTCGATAGAGACCTTGATGAATATCGTAACTATTTTCGTTGAGGTCTGCAAAAATGGAAGAATGAGACTTTTTTCATTTTCATATTGTTTCCTGCTATCATAGTTGTACCATTTTTTCATTTTGTATTAGATTTGTAAGAGTGAATAGTTTTTCTCATAGAATATTCGTCGAAAATGAACAGAATTGAACATGAAAGAGATCTTTATCTATCACAAATAACAGTATCATATATATACTTTCTGCCCACATATCAACAGTAATCATTTGTATATGTCAACAGACAGAACTGATCACAGTTTCTCGTTGTAACAAAAGCAAAATGAACGTTAATGCGCTAATATTTCACGTATTTAGAGTGAAACCAATTAATATTGTGCAACGAAAAACTTCTAAGGTTTCTTCATTATTTATCGATCATCATATTTGTTTGTATAGATTTGCTTAAGACGGCTTCCGTAACATCTTCGATATGCCCTAATCGGTTGATCATTTATGGTCACGATAGAGAATTCTGTACGTGTATTACTTTTCCACAGTATGTCGCCGTTTTCAGAGTACTTTGTTCGACGCAGAGTGATATGAATGTTTCCGACGATGAGCACTTGAAACTATTCTAATGACTATGTAGTGTTAGACAAATTTCTGTAGCTCCAGCAGATATCAAGTTCACAAAGTGTGAAGTTATTTTGTCTTCGTACTATGATATTCAGCATATTTTGCTATAGGTGCAACAGAAAATCTACAATTATTTTTTTTTTCATGGTATATCTGAATAGTTCTTATCAAATTATAAATAAACTATGGAACAACGTTATTAGCAGTTAAATAACTATTGATAATAGTTTAAGAGAATAATAAAGATTCGGATAGAATGATTCTAATCAATCAGTCGATTAAGTATAAAACATTAAATCCCTTGTCAAAGAAGCTACTAACAAATTCTACAGTATCTTCACATTTAGAAAAAAATTTTCTCTTAAAGAGTCCTAACGTTTCGGCATCATAGATCTAAAAAAAGTCAAGAGAGACATTAAAAGTCTTACTCATATTGTAATATAATGAAGTATTAATACAATTTGCTTTGTAATAAATAAATACAGGATAAAATTATGAAAATTTAAAACAATTCAAGAGAAGACTTGACTTGACTTGAACTGACGAGGAAACCACTCGGGGTGACACCCTCCGTTTTGACTCATTTATATCTCATTCGATAGAATATATTCAGATAGTCAAAGGACGTAGAGGACTTTTCCTCATGGCTCTTCTTTCAAAAGTTATAGTCGTTTTATTGAATTTTCGACTCATTTCCAGGTATTTACGAAAAAAAATCAAAATAGGGAATTTCGACTTGGTATTTCGTCCATAGATAGGCCTAATGGTCCTTAGAATATCCTGAAAATTTCAGCTAAAAAGAATGTTCCTTTCTTGAGATATTGAATTTTCAAAAAACAGTCGCCTGCCGCCGATTGGTCACAAAAACCTAGTTCACTTGAAAATTCAATATCTCAAGAAAGAAAAATTCTTTGGAGCTGAAATTTTCAGGCTATTCTAAGGACCATTAGACCTATCTATGGGTGAAATACCAAGTCAAAATTCTCTATTTTGATTTTTTTCGTAAATACTTGGGAATGGGTAGAAAATTCAATAAAACGACCATAACTTTTGAAGGACGAGCCATGGGGAAAAGTCCTCTATGTCCTTTGACTATCTCAATATATTCTATTGAATGAGATATAAATGAGTCAAAACGGAGGGTATTACCTCGCGTGAGTCCCTCTTGAGTAGAGATTGACTTGATTTAAATTTTAAAATGTCTGCTTCGAATCCATGACTTGGGTACAAAAAAACCCTGACTTGCTCATTTCTGGTTAAAAACAACGAAAATACTAGAAAACACACATGATGTCATGAGTTGTGATCGATATAATGGTATCTTTCATGTTCAATTCTGCTCATTTTCGATCACTCTTCTATGAGAAAAACTAATCATTCTTATAAATCTTATACAAAATGAAAAAGTTTTATTCTCTCATTTTTACAGACCTAAACAATAACAGTTATGATATTCATCAAAGTCTCTATCGAACAGAACACTTTTAAACTTGTTCTCAGGAAATGTGAAATAAATTATAAAAACTCGATATACTTATCGAATATATCGTAATATAAAGAATGAACATATATATATATGATGTCTGCTGAAGACAGTCTTTTAACAAATGATTTACCTCGAGATTATTTTAATTTTATCCTTTGTAATGCATCAATGCATTTAATGTCTGAAGATAATATATATCCAGTTATATCAAAATTACTTAAACCTAAAACAGGTTATTTTATTTATACAATATGGTATCATTCATTTGATGAAACTGAACATTAATCAGAAAAATTAATCTATAGAAACATATATTAATGATGCATTAACTTTTTATAATTATTCAATTTATTTTTCAACACTAAATAAAAAAAGAATCAAAAACAAATCGTTCAAGAAAATATTTAGAAGAAATATCAAATAAATATGAACTTAAACTTGAATCATGTACAATTAATATACATTGAACACCTCTTTCGTTTGATCTTGATTTTATGTTAATGATACCAAATTGGTTAATTCAACATTTAGAAACTAATAGATCTAATTAATATGATGATATTTACCTAATTCGAGAACGTATTATTGAAAAAGTTCAACAATCAATTGAAGGAATATTTATTGAAATATCTGTTGTCAATATAATTGTTTCAAGAATTTGATTAATTATTGAACAATAATATAAATCAAGAAAGCTATTTTTTGTGCTTTTTTTAGATAAATAACTGAGCATATTAATTTCCAGTAGTAGGTGTACCAAGCGAAAATCAAATACACAGAACATTTACTACTGCTAGCTTAAATGCTGTTTTACATGTTACTAATAAAAGCAGAGTGTGCATGGTTGACATTACTCTAGACATTTACACTTCTGTTTCAGTATTTTAATTTGTTTATATGATATTAAATTAAGAATTTATTGTTTTAAAGTATCGTAGATTAGGACCTCTACTAACGATTATTTCTATTTGCTAGGTATATTTTTTCGACTCTTTCTCGTTTTCGTTCGATATAGGCCCCGAACAGACCGACTAATTTAAAGTGAATTAAAACTGAATTAACGAATAAATCGTGTCAAAAAGACGATTTAAATCGAAATAGATCAATCACGTTGCTTAATTCATTTTATTGTTTTCAGTCTATTCGAGGTCCTAGTCACTTCTTCACATAGATTATTTGGTCGACTAGCACGATCGAATAAATGTATAGACAAAAGGCACGACAGAAAATACATTATGCTTTGTTTTACGATTTCCTTATATAGGTTGCCATATTTGATAGTGTACACACAATTTCTCGCGATATCATTTCTTACTTTCATATTTCTTTAGATGAAGAAGACAATTGTAAAAGCATTACCAAAAGATTTAGATGTAATATTCGTGCATGAACATTCTCGAATACCAAAAGTTTTACGACGACATTTAAATCATCTAGAGGCACGTCGACGTTGTGAACATGATTCACAATTGGCAATCATATTTTACTATAAAAATGGATGTGAGAGATTTGTGAAAAAAAATTAATAGCATACTTTTTGTTTGATCAGATTTTGCACAAAACGACGCCTCGTCAATTGAACCCAAACCTGATACACAGACAAGTACAGCATCATCTCTTTCTCAAACAAGTAAGAAGCAATTTGATTTAACTGCTGCTGTCGAAGTTCCTCCATGTTGATCTTAACTCATGTCTTTATTACTTTTTAGCTACACAATCTTCATTATTCAGCTCAAATAATTCAACATTGGATGGGTAATTATTTTATTTACCAAAAATATTTCATATTTCTAAAACTTTTAGTTTGAACTTGAACGAACATAAAAGAAAACGTGACAACTCATTAGAACCTGCACCAAAAAAAAAAATCATTTACCCTCGCAGTGGCTATCCAGATGACCTTGGAAATGTTTCTTCATCAGAAACTGATACAACAAATGCTGCTTCTGGAGGTGAAAATTTATCTGATTTTCATTTCAATAACTTCTAGATAGAGCTGATTATTTTAGAAAAAAATAGTCGTTTTCAAGCAATAGATTGTGAAACATATGATTTCATAGAAGATGATGCTGTTGGGTTTGATTCAGAGAGCCCAATAATATTGGATTCCCCACATAAACGTACAACACTTCCTACATCAAAAACTGATGCAACAGCTAGCATTTTCAAAGGTGACAAAAATACTATTTTGAACTAAATAAATTCTAAAGAGTTGATTTGTTATTTTAGAAATCAATAATATTGTTGCATCACAACATCCAACAACAAGTGTTTGTACCAATGAAAATCGTAGTTGTTTTGAAACAGATGATTTTGAACAATCAAGTGCAGATCCTTATGTATCACCAGATTATGCATGTGATGGTTTATCGAAAGATGTCGAAGCTCGTTTGATATTACCTCATATAGCACTAACTGGACATACAGGTACACTTAACATATTCTACATCTAAACCTTTAACAACAATTAATTTTTATAGAAGATGATGCTGCTATATTTGATTCACAGAGTTCAATAATATTGGATTCTGCACATAAAGGTACAACTCTTTCTACATCAAAAACTGATACAACAGCTAGAATTTTGAAAGGTGACAAAAATGCTATTTTGAACTAAATAAATTCTAAAGAGTTGATTTGTTATTTTAGAAATCAATAATATTGTTG